TGAGCCATTGTTCCTTTCAATTTTACGACTTCAGAATTCTTTTGACACTAATTCTTCCTCTCTCCTCATACTTTGACGCGACTTCCCGCCATCTTTAGAACATTTCAGTACCCAGGAAATAATCAGTTTGATTCGAAAAAAAGACTACAGTTAAAGTTAACTTATGATTTCGTTAGATAGGAAAGTTATTTTTGTTTAAATACTGATCTCCAGGCGGGTTTGCTTTCGTAAAAAACAGCTGCGTCATATCAACTACTCTTAAATCAGCTTTGATCAGTCATCGCGGGGAAAGTGAAAAATCGCATATTGTTTGTGCAACAACTGATTGCTATTTGAATCGACACAGACGGCTGGAAGGAGTTTCGCCAGATGACCCACCTTCCAGCGGTTATCGATTATTTCACGGCAGTTTTTAGTGCCCGTCATTCTCAGAGCTCAGCGTAAGTAGCCACCCTCCCCCCCCCCCCCCCCCCGGCATGAGATACTCTCCATGACTTATACTTGACAGTTTGAGGGTCTTCGTGTATACTGTTAATATCGTCGATACAGCGCTTCCCGCGAGCGATTTGAAGAAGAAGCAAATTAGATCCGTTCTTTACTGGAGTTCCGCGGGTGATTGCATAAAGTGAGTGGGGACCGTCATGAGTGCTTCGGACTTACTGGATGTCATGGGCTACCCACGGTTCAAGCACAGCCCAAAAGACCTGACATTTCACCCGGATCCACTTGGCCGTCAAACACTAGCAAGTCAAGCGTCTATGTATTTTTGGACCTCTGGGTTACGAACAGTCAACTACGATCTGGCAAATTCCCCATTATGAGGTGTGACACTTTGCCAGTCCTCTTGCAGATGTGAAGAAACGCAATTGTGCCCCTTCGTTTTACAGCTCGAATTTGGAGTCCTTGTGGGAGATTGCCCACCAGTGAGCATCCAATCATCTTGTGAGAAGCTCGTTCGCCGATCGGACTACTGGGCTTACATGTCCCATAGTGAGTTGAGGATCAATCTAGAGCTCTTGTAAGTAGTCGCATAGCGACCATGAATATGTGTTGAATGGACGCCCGACGAAGGTAAGGGAGACTGGGATTTTGAAGTAGAAGACACGATCGCCGGGACAAGAGCTTTATTAGCCTGACGTTTCGGATTCCTGCTCGAATCTATCTCCGAGACATAAGCAGATAAGGGTGGTTCATGCACGTGCGGCTGCAGTATTTATAGGATGCAGTAGCCATGCACCAGATCCGATAAACGAATCCAGACGTTTCTTGCCATGGCAGTGGGTCTTTTGGTTTCATCAACTGACGCCTGATGGTTGCCTCCGGCCCGTGTGCAACTCCAACCCCCAGCGGTGCGAGAAGGCGGCCAACAGCTTCCGAAACGTTCTTGACATATGGAAGCGCTCGCCAAACTTTGTTGTCCGTACGGTTAGGCCTTTCGTCCATTTCGCGTATGCACCGGTTGACAAAGTTGCGCGTGTAGCCATTGGCTTTGAAGACCCGTCGGAGGTATTGCAGTTCAGCAATCTTGTCTTCCGGCTCACTGCAGTGCGTTTCGACACGCCGATAGAGCGTCCTTACACAACTGCGTTTGTGACTGATTGGGTGGTTGCTGTTGAAGTTCAGTACTTGCATCGTATTTATCGCTTTCCTGAACACTTTGGTCTTTAGTCCACCACAATCCTTGCGGCATACGAGGACATCCAGGAAGGCCAGCTGGTTGTTCTCTTCCTCCTCCATCGTAAATTGTATGTCCGTGAAGACCGTATTCAGACGGTATGCGGTAGCATGGCTACTGCGTCCTATAAATACTGCAGTCGCACGTGCATGAACCACCCTTATCTGCTTATGTCTCTGATGACGGATTCGAGCAGGAATCCGAAACGTCAGGCTAATAAAGCTCTTGTCCCGGCGATCGTGTCTTCTTCTTCAAGACTGCTTCCTGGGACTCGTCTCTTCGCTTCTATTGGAGACTGGGATGTCCATTTCTGACCTATTAGCCGTCGTCAGCCAGCCACACACAACCTGGGTTTTGGGGACATCATACGTTCGAACCGGGGTCCTTTTGATTACTGGGAGTAGTAATTCCAACGGGGTAACTACTGAGTCATAGGCTCGTCGTTTTGTCGGTTTTAATCGGGAATATCAACTTATGTTGGAGTCCTTGCGGGAGATTGCTCACCAGAGAGCATCCAATCATTTCAGTAGAAGCGCGTTCGCCGATCGGGCTACGGTCTTTGCAAGTCCCGTTGAGCCTTGAGGATCAACGATCGACTAACGGGATCTAGTCGTTCCGTTGTGCCTCGAGGCTCAGTGTATAGCTCCCGCAGGCAGTCCTACAGTGACCAGGAATACGTACCAAAAGGAGATCCGATTGGTGAACGCACTTTTAACATAAGTTATTATTCGCAATCGCGATCGACAGGACAGCAAGCCCGCGGCTCAATGTTTAGAGTGTTTGGCCTTCTTACGCTCAATACCCGAAAAATACACGGGCTCTAGCCTCAAGCATCTTCCAAAACCTGAGGCTGAGTAAGGTTGAATGAAGACGCCTGTTAAAGGGTCATCCAAGTCTCCCTTGTCTTTTTCAGGTCTCCTTTCGGCATGACCATTCTAATCTTCGCCCTCTTTACCTCGCTTCCTCACACATACATTGTGTCTGTCCTCACTCTGGCTGTGCATCCCCTAGACATCGGTTCTTTGATCTAGGAAGAGGATGACAGTCGCATTGGATAAATCCATGGAGACAGAGTAGGCGACCTTCGTTGGGATTCAGTTACTGTCGTATGAAATCACTGCCTAGAAATCGATTCCGCCTAACTGAGTTTAAACTACTGGGTTAACGTAAAAGTTCCCCTCAAAAAGTGTACTTTCGCATTTTCTTGGATCTTCAACGTTCGTAAGAAGCATGCCTCAAACGCAAAGCTTTTCGCCCTTCCCTGAGAGGAGGCCTTTTAAAAATAATTGTATTGGATGAAATTGTGATAACGGTTTCGGAAGCAACTTGCAAACAGGAATATCAAAAACATTTCAAGAAAGTTCACATACTGATTGGGGAATCCTCAATGGAAGATCCGCACATCACCCCGTAACCAAACGTTTCCCAATTAACTTCGCCCATATTGACGCCGCAGTCTCTTTTGATTTTAAAAACATACTTAGTGACTTGAATTAAGATTCCGTGGGTTTAGGAGAGCAGAATAAACCCTTAGTCTTTCAGCATTTATGCGCATCCGTTTAGCTCTGCGCTGGGATAGTCCACTCGTCCCTCTTAGACTCCAAATGTCGGTAAATCGTAGTTCCTCCGGAATTAATTTTTGAGAGAATAAATCCGGTCTGTAAGCCAGATGCTGCCTACGCATACAAGAGAGACTACTTTGGCCATTTCTGGCATATCCCCTGACAGGAAATCAGGTAGCTTAGGCGTTCTGATATTTTTTGAAAATCGCGAACGCAGTTCTCGGATCTAGCTTGGTGGCAGGAGAGAGCCCCTAAAACGGAACAGTTCTATGTGACTGGGAACCCTAATTTCAGGCGACTTCGAAAATATTTACTTTAAGAATTTAGTCACGTTTAGGCTAATGAAATTCCGGGTATTGCAGACATAAAACATTGTTTACTTTCAGCCTCCGGACAAATAACCAAACTCGGTATGACTAGGTGTTTTGGTGTGACAAACATACTGTTTAGATATTACTACCCACGCAACTTTTTTATCTGGGGTCTTAGTTAACACATGTACAAGCGAATTACTACTAGATCACTAATAATAAAGTGTAAAGTTTGGACTGAAAACTCCTATCAGAAATAGAAGAGTGTCACAAGTGTGGAACTCTCTATATTTAGAAGAAATCTTGAACACTCAGGTATCGCAAGTCCTGTCAATGGCACGAAAGTTTTCCCAGTGCCAAAAACATTTTAACATAATTATGGTAATTAACACTTTTAAACAAACTTTCATTGTGCGTGTTTATGCCAAGGCTGAAATAAGTCCTGCTTATACCGGGGCCAACCATGAACACTGCTTAGATGATGCATTTATGCCCTGTCAGACTCTTTCTAATTGGCTGGTCGTTCTTTGAGCGCAGACGATCATGTGGTACTTTTAAACATGACGATGGGAAGTCTCTTAAATGGAAGTCATAGTATGGGTCTCAATCATTAAGGGAGCCACAGCTTCTGACTTAAAGGCAAGTTGCTTCACACGCCGCAAGCACGGAATAGGGCGTGAAATTCAACTAAATAAGCGGTAGGTTGACCACCAACTTCCCTTCTCAAAATTACTAACGGTAGGTAAGTCGGTTTTAGAAACCCGATGTAGGTCCTAGGTGATGTTTGGCCTCATTGGAAGGCCGACTGTCCGACTCGCTTGTCCTTTGAAATCCTATAATTTATGCATATAGCACCGGGGAATAGATATTGTTTGTAAGAACATGAATCATAAGATTTCCTTTAAACAAATGGAAATTCCGAGAGCCGGAAAACTTGGTTCTGGGCAAGTTTAACCACCTAGGGTTATATTTGTGAAGGTTAGCGGCATTCAACCCAGCTATATCCCCCAAAAAACTAGAGGCTGGAAGACAGCAGTTGATATATGTTTCATTATGTGAAGCTTAGGAGAACAATAGACGGGACCTGGGAAACAGTGCTGCGGCCTATGCACTTTGCTCGTCCGAAATTTGGCGTCTCCTCACTAGCGGAAGATGTCCCTGTTCTTTAAATTTACATTCATTATGCAGATTCCTTGTTATATTCAGTGCGTCGAGGCTTCTTTGAGGTTGTTTGTTCTCGGCACACGATTTGAAGTCGGAAACTGACAATCCGAACTACCTGTGTTGTTTGCTTATCGATTATTTTGTAGGACTACACCGTGAACGTCTATTCAGGCTCTCACCGTAGTTGCAGCTAGGTGCTCACTGCCGAATGCAGGGTGTACGCGAACATTCGTCATCTGACTGGTGATATCGTGACCGCTCAGCCAAGTGTCACAGGGTCAGGCGTAAATGGTTGTCGCGGGACTTGGCCCCCTGGCCCCACCTCCATACGCTGTACCTGACGTTGCATAGTAGGTACCAAAAGTCCCTAACAAATGAGCTGATAGCATTTGTGCGTGCGTACATGCCATCCCACCAAACGAGAAGGTGGAGATACGACCACTAGGACGAGATTCTTATTCGTCTGGCGTTTCAGATTCTCACTCGGACTCATCATAACAAAGAGCTAGAGGAGGGAACACAAGAAACGGGTGCTTAGTACGAATGACTACCCACACATCTTTATCAAGTGGTGTATCCGCAAAAGAGTTGGACGACCAATTCAAGCTGAAAACAAATGTTGGCTAACGCTTCCGTACGGCAAGAACGTCTCGGAGTGCGCGAATCGCCTTCCCCCACCACGGGGATTTGAAATAGCGTGCCGACCAAAGACAAATACCGGACGCCAGGTAATGAGGTCAAACGACTCACTGCTACAGCAGGAAACACCTGGATTCGTTTACAGGATCGAATGCAGTAGCGGGCAAGACAACCGCATCGGAGAAACTAGGAGATATCTCTGGGCGCGGATGGCCAAATACGAGGAATGACGCCAGCTATGAAGTCGCGGCCCATTCGACGGGACCCGGCCATACCTTCAAGTTTTTGCGAGGTTATAACCGCGTATGTCACTAGCTACTTAATTCAACGTTCTCCAGTCCGCAGTCGATTAAAAAGCACGACGATCTCCCCCCTCCATGGTCGCCTCTGAGACTTTCCCTGTGCAGATTAATTGGCCACGCGGGAATCGCGCGGACAAACAGTACCTAATGCAGGGGGGGCTCACCGATCGTTCTTACGGAACGAGTGAGTTCCGTAAGAACGATCGGTGAGCGCCCCTATCATTGTATATTCCCGATCGAAACCGACAGGGCAACGTGCTCGTGGCCCAGTGGTTAGAGGCGTGGACTTCTAACTAACAGGTCGCGAGTTCGAGCCCCGGGTGTTCCACACTTCGGGGTTGGGTATGACTTGGCTGACAATGGCTAATAAGCCAGAAATGGCCATTCCAGTCTCCCTTATCTTTGTCGGTAATGCCATTCTGCCTATTGCCTATTGTGTCAGTATCCGCGGGTCGAATATCCAAGAATCAAAACCAGTGATGAAACTGCTGCAGCTAACGGTCTGCCTGTCGACGAAGAAGCCATTATTTCTCCAAGTACGAACACTGGCGATGAATGCGGTGGAATAGCAACTGCATCCTGCGACTACTGCACCCCTTGTGTGTCCAACAAGTGTCCGTACTTTAGCCACATTATGAACTGTGATCAGCTCGATTACCATCTCGTTCCACAGTGGATCGATAAGAAAGCGGTATTTGCTATCAAGTTCATATCCTCAGTCTGTTGCCAACGTCTTGTATGGTGGCAACACTTGCATAGTCGAAAGAAATAACAACGTAGGACAGTACACGGCGGTGAGCTAAAGGCAATAAAATGAACTACGGACAGGTGACAAGAAAACTAGTAGGGTTCAGTTGGCAGAAGGCGGCCTTCACGTTGTTGGTAAAAGCGTGTCACAACTTTTTTGAGAATTGAGAATACTACTTAGTTGTGAGGCACTTGGTGTACTGGGTAACGCGCCTGGCCTCAACTACGGAGATCTGTGTTGCGACCCTCCCTGATTGGAACTCAAGCATATTGTGCTTCTCCCTATAATATTAACTTTCAGGTGTTGGATATACTCGAATGCAAATGACTCCAATCTCGGCAGTTGAGTCGTCGCCTCCATCTATTATCGCCTGTGCTCTCATGCCCGTTTCCACTTTGGTCGGCACGGCAACTTTAACTGCTGCGCAGGGCACTTCCGACTGACAGTGCACGGGTTCTATGACGAAAACCGCGTCACTACTGATCAACTTTGCACGGATGTGACAGTCCAATTGACTGAGTTAAAGACCTGGTTATCCGACGAACGCCTACCGAGAACACACAAATATTCTACTGTCGTTTACGACTGTGTCCACCGTATGCCCCACAGCATGGTGAGCAAAGAGATGCTAATTTGCGCGTGAATTGGTTTATAATGATGGCAGACTTGCGCCTAAACTACCGTACTCTCTCCTCGTTTACCCACCTGCCCTCGGTGTCGTGACAGGGTCGAGAAGGCCGGAGGCTGAACCGAGTGCAGGGAGCTGGTGTGGCATGGACCCGCGCCCAGGCGTACCACCATAACCCCATGCCTGACATTATTATGAGTGCACATATTTGGTTTCCGGTTAGTCCAGCGCATCTAGCGCGAAGCCTGTTCAAGGGGGCACTTACCGAGATGAATAAAGAACAGGCAAGCAAGCATAAATGCGTATTTAAGCGTCTGTTGTTTGCACTCGTCTTGTGCGGGGCGCTTGCGCCAGACAAGTCAACCCCGCAAAGTAATCGATTATCCTCTCCTCCAGACCGTCAAGCGGAGATTTTTCAGTATTCACTTTTATTTAGCTGTGAAAACTCGGTGCCTCGGTGGGATTCAAACCCACGACAGCAAGGGGAGGCTTTAATGCAGCCAACGCTCTAACCATAGGAGTTACGAGGCTTCGCTGAAAGACGCGAGTTTAATCACATTTGGGCCAAGTTTACCCACCCAACCTACTGCAACGTCTGGAATCCACCAAATCTGATACACTAAGTTGACTGTCCAAGCAGGATTTCCTAAGTAATTCACCAAGAATCCACCAGATGACTACCAGGCTCACGTATCGTTGAAAGGACGTTCACCGGTCAGGTTACGGAACGCGTTCATCCAGTTGTTCCTTGGGCCTCCATCTAGAGCCCTCAGCAGCAGTCGTAAAGAGACCAGTAATGGTACGGGAAGGGATATCAACACAAGGAGACTTGCACGGTTATTTCTAATTTATTAGTCGTCGTCTGAACCACTTCCACCTCAGTTGTCTTCGTCGCATCCTGAGGTTAAAGTGGAAGGATCGAATCCCCGACACTGATGTGCTGGAACGGACGGGAATCCTCAGCATCTACGCCATACTGAGGCAAATTCAGCTGCGCTGGAGCGACTACCTGGTGCGCATGGACAACGAGCGACTACCCAAACGACTCTTCTACGGAGACGTCGCGACGGGTTCTCGCCGTCAAGGAGGCCAGATTCGCCGTTACAAGGATACCCTGAAGTCCTCCCTGAAATGCCTGCAAATCAACCTGACCAACTGGGAGGAGCTCGCACTCGATCGACCGACCTGGAGGAGGACAGTGAAGACAGGCGCTACGATCTACGAAGCCAACCGCATCGCTGCCGCCAAAGCGAAACGTGAAGCCCGCAAATCACAACTTCGCCCAGTAAGCAACGCCGCCACACAACCGCTTCCAACGTGTCCTCGATGTCAACGGACATTCCGGGCTCGAATCGGACTTGTTGGACATCTTCGGATTAACTGCGTCTCTCGAACGGCACCAACCATCGTCCCCCCGCCTGCCTCTTCTCCTCCTCTCCGCCGCCAACTAACCCTGACAATTCTTCTGACTTACCACTTCCATCATCCTTTTCCTCCTCCTCCTCCTCCTCCTCGCCCACTGCTCCAACGGGGGCCGCTCAGGCAACTGTCCCGCGCACAACAACCGACACTACCACCACCTCCCCCGACTCCAGGGATGAGGATCAGGACTACACCTGCCCTCACTGCGACCGTATCTTCACCTCACACATCGGCCTGGTGGGTCACTTGCGAATCCATCGCACAGAGACTGGCGAACCAGTGCCTGGAGCACCCACCTATACCCATCAAGCTCGTCTCAACTGCCCACACTGCCCTCGCACTTTCAGGCATCGCATGGGCCTATTCGGCCACATGCGCATCCACGACGACCTGCGGTAGACAACCCCCGGTTACACCACACATTCACACACTCCCTACCTCCTCCACCACCACCATCACCCCACCAGAAATCAACACTCACACACCTCATGCACCCAACTGCCCCCTCCCACGCAAGTGGGAAGTCCGCATCTCGACTCGGTCCCCATGCGGCTTCGGCTGCACGGGTGACTTGAGCCCGAGACTATCCCGACACGTCAAGCGTCGTGGATAGGAAGGTTGCTGATTGACGCCCGCTCTCGGTTTACGCAGTTCGTCGCGTTGTGTGTATGTGTGTGTGTGTTGTGTGGAGTGGCGGACTGGTGGGCCGGGAACGGGCTGAAACATCACCTTCCACGGCACTCTCACGCAAGTGAGAGACACGCCGTTCAACCCGCGTTGTGTGAAATCCTGGTATTGTGTGCATGGGGGGCCAGGTCGTGCCGTGGCGCGCGCAGTCATGGTCATTCGACCATGACAGCCACCGCGCCCATTCCCCACTCCAGTCTGCTGAATGGCTCGGACAGCTGCTGGGGTGTGGGAGTGGGAAGGGAGGGTGAGGTCGACGACTCAGCGCACTTTCTCCTCACTATAAACAATCTGACGCGCTTGAAGCTATCACGGTGCGCTAAAAGCCGTGGCTTGGAAGGTTGCCAACTGACGGGGTAACTTGGACCTCCTCCTTGACCGGAGGCGGTCTGAGAGTCAGGCTTCAATGGCTCCTTTTTAATGTGGCCTTTATGGCACTCCCATCACAATGTGGGATCTGAGCCAGGCGTTGGCGGCACGCCCAGGTGCGGCTTCGGCCGTGCCAGCCTACAAATCTCTGTTGTGTTGGTTGAAATCCTGGTTATTTGTTGTGTGGACCAGGGGGTGTGGTGGAACGCCAAGGTGAGGATCCGTCCGAGTCATCCACCTGCGGCCTCTCTCGTCTCCGGTCTTCTTGACTCTGTCTTGACACCGGGCTTGGGCGAGGGAGGAGGAGAGAGTGTAGGTAGATGCTACGCAAGTCTACCGGCACTATAAACCCCTGCGTAAGTCACCGTCCCTGCTCCCATTGCTGCTGTAACTGTGGGGCACACGGTGGACATCATCGAAAACGATGGTCGAACTGTCTAGTCGTCGCCATCTTGCCCAACCAAGCCTCATGTTTAAATGGCCTGGCATTTCAACCCTGGTCCTTTGATCGTTGAGTCCCTTTTAAGCTCACAATTCCACTAGTGAGACACAGGCTAGCTGCCCTATCCGGTGTGATCAGACAAATGAACTGTTGTTGGAAAGACGTTAAACGGGCAGGTTACAGCACAACCTCTCCTCGACATTCTCCTAGTCTACGTTACTTTTCAGTAGTTGGAGGAACGTACTGACACAAAATTGCCTTCTTTTAAGCAAAGAGACACGGCATGCGGTGATGCGGAAGACACTAATAATTAGTGCGTCACTCCTGATCAGTGATTTTTCTTTCAAAACTGACGAAACGTTACTAGAAAGCTAAACACATTGTTTTCTGTCTGACTCGGAAACGTAGTCCTGCTCGGTCAACAAATTGTTGCTTTCGTACTATTATAGATTGCAATAGAGGGTCAAAATTTACCACTTCCGTACAATTACTGAATTCGGTAAGTGTAGTACTGCTTGCGGATACTTTCAGTTGGAGGCGCTTCGCGGAATGCTGCGATCACGTTGCGCAATTACGCTAGGGTTCGGGTTTTACGGTTAGCGTCTAAGGTTTAGGGCTAGGGATTGGGGCTAGGCCAAGGGTTAATGTCAAAGGTCAGGGTCAAGGATTGGGCTTGGGTTCAGGGTTCGGGTTGGGGTCAAGGGTTGAGGTTAGGGTTTAGTGCTAATGTTTTTTAGGGAATTGCTCGGCACCCACTTCATACAACTTCCATCTACGGTTTACGTCTGATTGGCCAAATTCTTGTTCAATGACCATGACGGGCCAAACACACTTGTTCTTCGTGGAATTCGTTATATTGGTTACCTGCGACGAATTTTTGTATTACGCGGTGCTCACGCTGAGATTTAGCACCCATTAAAACAAACTAGCATATTTACCGTTAGTATCTGCGTTTTTCCCGTAGTATTCGCACATTCTTCGCTGTTTCCCCGCAGCCCCACCCATGTAGCCCCTTTTACCACGGTTCCCGCTCTGGATGCGCCTGGGTTTCCCGATTTCCCAGCAGGATGGCGTTTCTGATCTTTGTCTTGGATTCAGAAGGAAGCAAACATGCTTTCAGAGGGCTCGCGTTAGCAACAGGGTAGAAAACAGCAAGTCCTCGGTACAGGTAAATAGGCAGAAGACGATTGCACTGCGCAGATGTGCGATGGAAATGGAATATGCACCCCGCACGGGCCTGGTGCTAAATTTTAGGGGGTACCTATTCCCGTGTCCTAAATGTGATCCCAACCCCAGCCTTACTGCTGATTTTAACCCTAACACTAACCCCTACCCCACCCATCCCTCTGGAATTTAACTCAAAACCATTGGTGGTAGGGGAATGGGCCACGTGTTCTGGTGCCTTACCGTAGCGCGCACCAAGACGTGCGTATCAAGTGGCGTTTTCCTCAAGACCCTCGAGAGCAGGGTTCCTGACTTTCATGCCTTGCGCATGGAATAGTGCTGTCACTCTGGCGATGTAAGGTCCGTCTTGGATGCTGAGAATTGGAGATACTTCTTGAGTTCATTTGCCTTTGAAAGCAATCGCGAAATTGCCGTCTGTGGTGCGGGTGATCGCAAAGTGAGCAGTGAGACCTCGTTTCATTTACGGTTCTTGGGAAATATCTTCCGGTTGGTTAAACGTCCTCACCTCCACAAGTCTCAGATCGCTCCATAGTAGTTGAACGATTGTCTTTATCCTAATGGACTACTCCAGGAAGCAATAAAGGAACTGAGAAGTTACGTGAAGTCATTTGAAGCACACAGCTTGGGCCGTCCCATTTAGCTTCGCGGTTCCAGGATGACGATAGACAAAGATCGGAAATGGCCGCCACAATTTCTCCTTCTTTATCGGTTAACCTTGCGCTGCTTTCACGAGCACTTAGAAAGCCTCCGGTACCAAGAAATCGACGAACGTTTCATTTAGCTAGATATTACTTACTTTGGGTAAAGAGCATGATTTAACTTTAAGACTATCGAGTTTCATGACATTGCGTTGACGAGTATCGTGACTTACTTAGAATATTTCAAAGACAAACATGTCCTTGAATGATCTACTTTCAGCTAAGATTCAAAAAAGAAGACTTTGTAGCATTTCTTTCTTCAGATTGTTATATTTTAATCAGAATCGATGCCGTACAATAGCAAACAGCAGAGCTGAGTACGCTTCAGCTGATGGCGACATAGATGCACTGGCGTCTAAAGTTAAGCATCCATAACCGCAGAATGTGAGATCTTGTTGTCTGAATTAAAGTAGGATCATAACGCCTGGGACCAGTCAAACTTCATTCTTTATTTCATTAATAGCAATGCTTGAAGGACTTATTGAACCGATAAATGCTTGCTCAAGCGGCATTGAATCTGCACGTTTCTTGATGGTACTTTTGCCATATACAGCGTGATTCGGGCCTATTATACGATTTTGCGAACGCCAAATGACATAATCATAGATAAGCATGTGATTTCCTCTAGATGGATGATATGCAGCGTGTACTCGGAAAACGCTAAAAACAGGTGAAACAGCAGTCAGAGAATTTAAATATTCAAAAACCCAAGGGTCAACTTTCTTTAAGCATTCAAGCTGAGGAAGAAGTAACTTTCAAAAACAGAAGCGTAAGAAAGGGTGCGTTCGTGTATACGCTCTGTAAACTATGTTTGAATCCGTGAATACCTCGAAAACAACAGACAGTCACGCTTCTTTGATAGTCATTTTTAGCGAGTGTAATTTTTCCAGGAGGGTGCGAACTCGAAAGCCAGTACCTTGTATTGCAATCCAACTTCAGTAATCCTTCCTACTCAATGCGTATTTTAAAATCCCGATTAATGCCTAGTGAAATAGGTAACCCGATCTTCCATTTTTTTAAGGACTTCAACCAATGACCGCCACCTTTAGCCGTCACGATAAACGAATAAAAAACGCAATAGAAGCAGTGGCAGGTTAACCAGCATTGTTTTTCCGGTCGGAAAGTAGCCGATAATTTGTCCTCCATTTCGGTTACGTTTATTTTAAAGTACGTTGAACTGTGAAGTTGACCACCGGAAGCATCCTCTCCTCCTCTGAGCATATTTTCCTGTTTTAGTGGATTTGTCGTAGCTCCCTGGGAGAAATAGCCCTGCAAAAACAGCCGAAGCAAGTGATTAATTGAATGCCAGATGGGTACGCAAATTCTCATTGCTAGAGCGGTTACTCTGTAACCGGTCGACGCCTGCCGGCATGCTCTACTTCCGTGACCATGTGTTTTATTGTTTACTGAGACACGCCGGTCTAAGTATTTTTTTAATTATACCTATAAGCACCAGAGGATGGAGTGCTGAAAGCTGCAAAAATTCAAAAGTTTCTCTGGAAATGAGATTCCTGTCTATTATAGGGAAGGAAAAGAGCAGTTTCGCAAGCTCTCTGAACGTGTCTGGCCCGAAAATGGGAGCCAATTGCCATCCGACGGCGAGGTAATTATGCAAGGGGCCGGCCTTCCTGGATGATTATCTAAAGTGAGGAACTTCCCCATAAACATCTCAGTAAGTACAAGAAAAAATGTAGGCCCCGGGAGGCGTTTGGGAGGGAGTAGACGAAATTGTTGGAACAATGACTTTATTATCCTGGCGTTTCGAACTCATATTCGAACCCATCATCGGAAGCAGCAACAGATACAGCAAACTCATGCACAAGGAGGTGCAGTACTAACAGTGTTCGTGTACAGTTATTTCTAACGAGCTGACATGTAATCAATAGGGTTTTCAAAGGCTTTGCCTATTATCCTTACCAAATAAACTCAAACTGGACTAAATCATGAAATGTCAACCGACATTCTCAACTGCTTTCTCGTTTCGAAAATATTACTTACGTAGGGTTGTAAAACTAATCAATGCGTCTTCGTTTCAAAAATGTTAATTAAGTAGAGTTGTTAACCTAATCATCATGCAGCATAATTCTGTAATAATTCAGTTACCTCAGGATGCCGCCTTTCGAATGATTTTCTGTCCGGCTGCATACAAATCTACACTCTTTAAAAAACGACTACTTATGTAGCATGCATTTTTCTCGTTGTATTTCGATTACCTTAAATATCAAATTATATCACATGGAAAACATAGATAAAAATATTCATTCTTCTGTTCATTCATTAGACAATTGCATCTTCTTCCAATTTAATACTGGAAGGAAGGGTATGATTTGGATTACAAAAAGGTGGCGAACTCAAAACTTGACTCGACGTAGTCCGTCAAGACCTGGAGGTGGTTCTTGGACCTTCGGTATTCGGTTCCCGTCGTTGGCGAAGAGAATGGGTTGAGCTATCCAGATGTGCTGCTGCGGATCGTCACGCGTGGAGAGGTACAGTTCGGGACATCGTCGAGGCCGGCTAGATCATTCATGATCGTAGCCGTACCAAGTACATGTACAAGCAAGTACAGTAGTCAGCCTTTGAAGCATCATGACAGTCCTGTGTGTTTTTTGAACATATGTCCTTAATTATTGGTAAATCCACCCCCTGCAGCCTTCCTGTGACGAGGACGGAGACCTGATTTGAGCTGATAGTAAGACTTTGACAGGAATTTGTCCAGGAACACTGATCAGAAGGAAAACAATACTAGATCAAACCGCCAGAATCGATAGGTTGATTGGAAATTAATAATGGTGGAAGACTTTCACTAATCGGATTTACCGTCTACTTCGGACATTACATTTAGTTATGATTGCCTTCGTGTATTTTACAAAATTTACGCAGAACCATGCCTTAACAAGGCATTGCCTAAATTTTAGAGACTATGACAGCAATTTTCAGCACAGGCTTAATTTCGCCGTTCTGTAGAATTTCATGATTGCGGCCTTTGGTCGAGGCGAAAGTGTGCGAAATTTCACAGAATTCGAAGCAAGTATATAAACCCCGCAAGATATGACAGTGTATTTTGTTTTCATGATGGGTTTTCTAACAAATGGTTACTAATACTGCCTTAAAATTTGAGAAAACTACCTCCGGAAGGCCTTCCACTCTTTTGATGATGCAAATATAGCTCGAAAGCCTAACCCTTATCTAAGGTTAATATCATTATTCTATCATTTACTTGCTCATAACTCCTCCAAGTATTAACTTTTATTAGTACTGGAACATAGACTCATACATTTCCCCATTTTCGCGCCTTTAGTAAACGGGCGGTCAGTACCGTTGATGTGATTATTATCTTTAAGTAGCTTTTCTTCTTGATAGTTCAAATTTAAAATTGGAAAAGACGACACGGTCGTCTGTAATTCTTGTGCATCGGTTGAGAAGAACTATATGCTGTGTATATAATCCATGGAAATTGCACCAAGCACATATTATACACTTGAAACGCTTCCTCGGCATGTTGATTTTCTTCGGTTGCATTTTGTACACTCGTTTATCGCACCTAGGGAAATGGTGTTTGTCCTTATCGCCAGCTATGTTTATGACGAAAACCCCCTTATGAGTTTCATAATCTTAGTTTTTCGTAAATTTTGACGAGAACTTTTATCATGTCAACTCAAAAAAATCTTTGAAATTAGTTTAATTTTTACGCTTGAAGGCTGAAAGCTTTAAAGTTCGTTTGCCCCCATTGCCTATTAAAAAAACTTGAGGAACAAATGTCCTAACGAGTAAACTTCTCAGACTTTAAGATCTCTCTCTCAAGTGACGAACTTCAATCCTGCGGTGAATTTATAATTGTGCATTCAACACTCCAGGATACGTAGTAAAAAAACCTTGAGAAGCCTGGCAACGATGCAAACGGTTCATGGGCAGGACGAAACGTCCGCAACGATTAGATATGTGAGTCCGTGTTTTTGTTACTGCGACACGTTTCTGACTACGCTTAAGAAAATGATTGAATTCGCGTTTAAAATGGAGGTTAGGCTTAAGGTGAAGGTTGGAGTTAGGTCAAAAGTTAGGGCTAGACAAAGGCTAAGTGTTGGAAATGGGCTTAAGTTTGAGGTTAGGGTTAATTTTCCTACCTCATACCGTCTTACCCAATTCGGCCTTCTTTAACCAATAACCTTTGTTTTCCACCCATCCACGTGCCCTAATTGGTATCTTTTAACTTGCGCAATCTGTTCCGGAACCTCGTTAGAGTATTAAAACAAACAAAAATTTATTAATGCCTTCTGCAAATTCAGTTAATTACCATGTTCACTCGCTCCAGTGTTAACACTAATATTAGCATCCTCTCGAGCTACAGGAGTTTCTGGGCTCTCTTTTTCACAGCAGGTTCGCATATTCAGTCCTCGACGAAACATTTTCCCGTATATAAAGACCACCGCACCATCTGCTTCCCAACCTACACTTACCACCATTTTACACAACAAGAGGAATGGAGCACGACTCGAATCCCACGGTGTAGGTGCGCCATAGAAACCACATTAAGAAGAAGCCATTGTGGCTTGATTCTCGGTCCACCAGGCCGCCGCTCCACACAAACACACACTGGACTGACTGCGAGGTCTAAGTTATCCCATCAGTTGGCAACCATCCAAGCCAGGGCACCTGGCTCAACATAGTAGTCTCAGGTTTGGATCACACATGCGGCAGATGAGCTACATGGAGAGGGAGCCGAGGAGCACACTTCCCACTTGCGTGAGATGTGCCAATTACATGCCTGCGTTGTGTGTTATTGGGTGTGATCGTGTGTGCTGTAGGTACTGATGAGGGCAGATGTGGTAGTATGGTACAGCCGACGGTGTTCTACCCCAGGTTTTTGTGGAAGCTAATGTGGCCTAATAAGCTCATCGATGGTTAAATGTGCAAAGGCAATGCGGGAAATTGAGATGATGTCGTCTGGTGTATGTCGATGCCCCAGACACTAGTTCGCGAAGGCTTCCGACGTTGGTCCACCGGTTGCAGTGCTATGCATTCGCAAGTGGTCGGCCAGGCCGATGCGTCGGGCGAATGATCGATCCCACTGACGACAGGCTAGGACCGAGTTCATATCGCTGCAGATGGGGGCAGTAATGGTGAGGTTTTGGTCGGAGGCATGAATGGGGTCTGTAGTGGTCGTCGTCATCGTCGCGGAGCTTGTGGCAGGAATGGTGGAGATGGTTGTGCTCGACGGCGGCAGGGTACGGAGATGCTGAGCATTGGTGCTGAGAGTGGTCGTCGGAGTAGACGTCATGAGTTCGGAACAGGGGCGGTCGGAGAGACAGTAGTTGGGGTTTTCGGGGTGGTACTTCGAGTCTGTAGATGCCCAACGGGGCCGGTCTGCGCGCGGCATGTTCGTCGACAGCGCGGACATGTTGGAAGGAGTTGGATCTTGGCGTTGTAGATCCAAAGTGTCTGAGACTTGCGAGCTTCCCTTTCAGCCTTGCTGACGGCGATTCCGTTGGCCTCATAGATGTTTTCTGCAGTTCGCTCTTCATTAGAGAGGTCGGTTCTGTGCGAGATCTTCCCAAGTCTTGGGGTTTATCTGCAGTCGCTTCAAGGGATCCTTCCAGGCATTCTTTTGGCGACGGACTTGATCTCTTGGACGGTGAGCAGCCCCGACGACATTTCCATAGAAGAGTTGCTTTGGCAGGCGTCAACTGTTCATCCTCACAAGGTGGCGCTCCAGCGTAGTTGCAGTTGGCTCAGCTTGGCATGGATGCTAATAATTCCTGTCCGTTCCAGAACTTCTATGACCAGAATTCTGTCCCGCCACCTCAGCCTCTGTATCCAGTGGAAACAACTGAGGTGGAAGTGATTGAATTTCCGCGCTTGCTCCTCGTAGGCCCTCTGGATCTCCGCGCCAAACAGCAAAGTCAAGATGACCACTCTGTACAATAGCGCAAGCACACAAAATGGACGTACATTGAGACGCAGCATGATTTCCTGCTCATAGAGTTTGGAAGCTTAAAGAGGCTAAATTTATTTTTAAAAAAGCATTTGTCATACCTGTTTTCAAATAATTCTGGAAGACCAGATTTTGGGGGATAATGATCCGGGGTTTTAGGGCTTGTAACCCTCTGTCACAAGACCGGTATTAGCACACCATTTGTGAATCTAACAGGGATCCTCAACACCATGAAAATTAGGGGACTTTGAAAAAGCCTGATGAAATTTGTCTCTACGGACCGATTCATGCAGGAGGTCAGGCAAATCCACGACAAGAGTATGGCGTGCGTTGCAGTGAAAAATACTGTGAGGTGGTGCGTTGCTTACTCGCATCCATTTTCCCTAATCTCGTATTATTTGTCATGCCCCTGAACGTCTACTTTTTGGGAGTGGCTTTTAAGTCAATACCGGCCGCCGAATCGAAGGACAGCTACCCAGTACCTAGCCAATACATCCAGAAAAGAAACTACCAAGACTCACTGCTCACGACTTCTCACCCACGGGGGACTGAACAGCACAGGCAAAGCGGACAGGCGGCGCAACTTGAGCCACTTTACCGTCTGTTTTTTTTTAACAGTTCGATTGAGCAACTGCTGGTAACTAAGGAATGCAACAAACGCATGGTATGCGTGAGCGCAACTCGCGCTCCTTGAGAATAACATCTCAAGGAAGAGTAGGGCGGAGAATGAGACTCTTCCTCGGATATCCAAAGTCGGTTAGGCTTTTGGCAGGCTGCAGTGCCCAGACATCACCCTGAACGCGAAGCTGAGAATATACAGAGCTGTTGTCCTGGCTGTGCTGAGGACTGCGATCTGAGCAGAGTAGCGAATGAGACATAATGCTTGAACCACCTTCAAAGTCGAGATGAAGGAAAAGGATCTAGGACCCTCCGGTCTTTAAGACACCTAACAAGTTGAGTTTTGTGTTGTGTGACCGAGTCCTGGGAGGAGTTGTCAAACGTCTGACGAAATGACTATTCTACCGTGATATCGCTAGGAGTGCTCGCATGCAAGGCAGAAAGAGACGACGTTAGAAACCTTTGGACCTTATTTTCAAGGCAAGCAAGCAGAATAAGCAAGCTGTCATACGCTGAAAAAGGGACTCGAGCATCTCACTTTGAAGCCAGCAGATCAGTAGAGTTCGGGGAGGTGGGACTGGAATGCGGCGAAAATTGTCGCAACACTTTGCTTCAAAGTTTCCGCATTATCAGCTGACATTCAGCGTCCCGACGGAACTCGTCGAAACATTCGGATACAAGACGGTGTCAACACGCTCAGCCCGCTCTTTTTATCACAAAACGCTGCCACCACACATGGAGGTGGTAGTCGTGAGGAAGGAGACACGATCCCGGGAACGAGATCTTTATTTGCCTGACGTTTCGCATTTACGATCGAACCCATCCTCAGAAACAATAGCAGGCACCCGCATCTGCTACTGTCAGTGTGTATTTATCCCTTCCCTGGATCCTGTGGAACAGGTTCTATTGGTCGCACGAGTCGGCGTCAATCCAAAAGGATACAAGAACACCTCCCCGCATAGCTAGAAAAAGGCGAAATTAGGAGCATAACCAGTCATTCTCGCGCTTATGGATTTCGGGCATCATATCGGCCTCAGCGAAGCTTTTCGTGTAATTCACAAGGTCCAGTCGAGTCACCATAATCCACTGAGCCGGTGTATGTTAGCAACAACAGAAACTGCCGCTATCGGGTCACGAAAGCCGGTCTTGTGCGCGCAGGCGAACCTAGTTCAGGACGTGGTCAAAGACCAACTAACTGTATCTGCTCAGCTGATAGCGTCAAGAAAGAGCTTAAGATCATCGAAAGTCTTTTTCGCCAGAACGGGTATCCTAATCAATTCATTGCTAAGAACATGGCCGAAAGACCACAAAAGCCCGCAATACTGACAGCAGGAAAGAAAAGGCTCCGCGTCAGGGTCCCATTTCAAAGTGTTGCACCAAGTGAACTTTTAAGAAGGCGCCTAACTCAAGCTGTATCACAGACCTTTCCAGCAGTTGACACCCGTGTACTGTTCTTCACCAGTCCCGCCCTATACTGAGAGGGCAAGGACAAACTACCAGATCAGAGCACCTCTATGTGTATTTACTCCTTCACCTGCTCCTGTGGGGCAGAATATGTTGGTCACACGAGCCGGCGTTTATCCAAAAGAATAAAAGAATATCTTCCAGCATGGTTAGAAAAAGGGTCAAATAAAGAGCATCAACAGCTCCATCCTCGCGCACATGGTAGACACAGATCACCGTGTAGACGCCAGAGAGGCCTTCAGAGGGATTTACAAGGTCCCATCAAGCTATCCAAAGCTACTTGGGCAGCGCTTGTTGACTACGGCAGAGGCGGCTGCAATCAGGCTATGCAGACCGGTCCCATGCGCACAGAATAATTTCCTACGGGTTCCACAATTGCCATGGCTCAAAGCCACCAAGACAGCCACCCGCATGTAATTACGTTCGACGGAAACCACTTTCTCCCTGACGCTGTCTGGAATTGTGGTGTTTCACTCTCCCCCTCCCCTCTTTTCCCCAAACCCGAGCTGCAGCTTAATTATCTACTTGCCCGTATCTTTTAATTCGTTAACTCAATAGCCAGATAAATGTACAGGCCAGAAGAGAATTCATCGAAAGCTCTCCAAATATCCTTTTGTATGCAAATCTCCGCGCCCTTTCGCTCTAACCCCCACTCTTAGCACCCCTTTCCGCATATGTTCACACCCGGCTTATGTTTTAAGACGAACTTCAGTCGATAACTCTAATCACTGACAGGTTTTCCTTCACCCCTGATGAGAATTTATAGAATGCAAACGTATGCTAGCCAAATAATCTTCTGAATTCTACCGCAAGAATTTCTACAAATCTGAAACAATGAAGATGTTTTCGCTTGTTTCGGATGGCCGTCATACCTACATCTACCTTCTGCACTGTTTAGTGGTCCCCTCAAGGCTGACTCTTGTTCAGCAGATCTAGAGGATGTCTTCGTGTACATATAGGAGATAGCAATTCCAACATCCTTAACGCCAGTCACCCTGCGACTGCCATCAGAGCGTGCCAGTCGCTGCGATACAACCCACCAGCTGCATTGTCGACGTCTAAAGTGAGTGTTCGAGCAGAATTTGTCCAGATCTCCTTGTTGGAAGTGTTTGCAGGCGTTCTCGAATCAGATAACTCAAATCCCTTTCCTATTACTTCCCGCCATTGGTACCACTCTTATTCGCTGACTACTCACGATCACCCAGAAGCTGAATATAATTTACTCTAGGCATATTTCCTAGCTCTGGCGGTTCGTTGTGGGATAAGCAGTTTTCGAGAAGTGACACATTAAGCGCAGCTAACAGGTAGAGGATTTGGAAAGATATGGTTATAGGCAGAATGGCATTACCGACAAGGACAAGGGAAACTGGAATGGCCATTACTGGCTTACTAACCGAAGTCTGGAACACCCGAGGCTCGAACTCGCGACCTGCTAGTTAGAAGTCCACGCCTCTAACCACTGGGCCACGAGCTCGTTTCCCTGTAGGTTTTGATCGGGAATATACAATGGTAGGGGGCGCTCACCGATCGTTCTTGCGGAAATCACTCGTTCCGATATGGTTATGTAGCCCCACCTGATGGATACAATGCTGTTGAGGTTGTGGTTAGGGGTCGGTGTTAGGGGTTAGAGCTAGGGGCTAGGGTTAGGAATTAGGACAACTATTTCTCAACCACTCAAAATACCACCACGCATCCCCAATAGCTTTTCTTTTGCATACAACTATTTGACCTCGTCGTCCTTGCGTTCCCCGGCCCCACTTGTGAAAAGCACTATTACCTCAAGTCCCGTATCACAGGTGGCGGGGGGTTTGTTTACCTGAGGTGCAGCTACGTAACCACATCTAACCAAGGATTTATTCAGGTAGCTTACACCAACCACACTAAAGGTGATCCGCTAGGTTGTGCCAATTTGGCTCAACCTGTTGGCATTTGTTGACATTTGAAGTACTAGCACAGAATTTCAGTACAGTCCAAAGGTGCGTTGCATTTTGAACTGGGCAATCGACTGATAGTAAAACTTTTGCCGATCAAAGTTTATGCAACTTCAATCCAGTCTTAAGTGGAGACGCGAAGTACGAAATCGCTCATGCAATAGAGGCCTCCGACGTTGAGAAGTCGACAATAAGCCCAGAGGTGTTAAATGTTTGGGCTGTAAGCACGGTTTGATTGACATAAAGTCCCCATTACGAATTTGAAAGTGTCCACTTAGAGCCGTAATTTTGTAATCTTATGGACGTGGGCTTAATTTCAATAATTATTGATTCGTCCGTATTCTGAGAAACATGCTATCGAGGAGGACCTCATGATTTTTATGAAGCCTCTACACTTGCCTCTGTAGGCTTAAAACACTGCCCACAAAAGCTACTACTCAAATCCTCATGAAATATTTGTCAGTTAACGGGAATAGTGAAATATTTTTCATAAGCAATGACTAACTACTGATATCTACTGGCATTTCCGTTGATTTTCGCGGTATTTCAAGGAACACAAGTTTGCTATAGTTCGAATTTGTAGACTGCACATTTTTCGTTACATGCACACAACCTTCGAAAATTCGACAAAAAAGGGTTAAATTTGGGTTCAAGGGCAAGCCATACTTGGTTAACCAAACACCGACTGCGTAGGGGCTGCGCATATCGTTGGATCACTGTTTGGTAATGGCTGGGGCGGATTGGTGCCTTTGCGCTGCATTCCGGGCGGTTCCGGTTTCTCGTGTGTGGTACACTGCCTCCGGGGTGTAGGGGCGTCCAGTTGTGGGTCCACTTGAGGATCGTAGTAGGTCGCTTACTCGCTTGCGGGTGTTGACTACGCCTAGCGTCCATTAACTGACACCTGACTCTCACTCGAAGCTAGGCTGTGCCTAGCGGCCACACCCCATTAGCCTCATCGACCGGCGGGCTAAACTAGATTGAGAATACCCGGCGTTGTGTGTGTCCCCACACACGGTAAGTCTGCTCCCCTCCGCATCCCTTCTCCTCCCCCACCCCTTTCCCATTTTGACTACTCCCACCCGCACCACTCTTCCCATCTCCCCTCCCCCTTTTGCCCCCGCCTTCCCTCCCCTCCACCCACTCTACTGTCTTCCCCCACGGTCGAAAAGTCCTACGGTGAGGTCGACATGGAATCACGTAAGCGAACCAGGCCAATCGAGTCGTACTCTCACCAAACCAACTCGTGATCCATAGCCGTCTGGGACGACTAAACAGACCTATTTAGGGACAGCACTGCCTACCCCTCGCGCGGGAGGTGACTGAAAAAAGTACCCTGATCGAATGCAGGGTCCACAATATCTGCGCGCTGATCGTGGCTCTCAGACTGCAATACATGCGGTCGAAACAACGAAATAAGATACAACAACCTCGCTCTTTCCTCTCCTCCGCGCCGCTCCACAGGCTGCTAGGGTGAGTCTGCTCACTCTGACAGCCTGGAATGATCGTTCCCTTGTAGACAATCCCAGCAGCAACCGACCGGAGCGGAGGACAGCGCTTGTCGCTCGTGAGCTGGCGCGCTACGAGGTGGACATCGCCGCACTCAGCGAGACCTCCTTCTCCAAACAAGGCCAACTGGTGGTGGTGGTGGTGGTGGTGGTGGGTGTCGGTTACACCTTCTTCTACAGCGGTCGCCCCCAAGGCAGAGCGACGAGACGCGGGTGTCGCCTTCTCCATCCGGAAGGACATCGTGGGACGACTGGCCTATCTGCGCACGGCATCAGCGACCGACTGATGAGCCTCCGCCTGCCTCTCCAGGTAGGCGAATTCATCCCCATCTTCAGCGTCTACGCTCCTCCGATGACCAACCCTGACGCGACAAGGAAAAAATTCTGTGAGCATCTGCACGTCCTTCTGACATCTGTTCCGAAAGTGAATAAGTTGGTTGTCCTTTGCGGCTACAATGCCCGCGTCAGGACAGACCGCGCTGCCCGGAGGGGAGGGCTTGGTCCTCACGGAATCGCCGACTGCAACGACAATGGCCTCCTTCTCCTGCGGAACTGAGTTGACCATCGCCTTCTGCTGATCACCCCGCCCTTTCGCCTGTCGATGCGGAAGAAGGTCGCCTGGATGTACCTCTGATCGTGGCGCTAGCTGCTGTTGGACTATGTTCTCGTCCGGCGCACGATCGACAGGGCGTGTCGTCGACCAAAACTATCTGCGATGCCGATGGCTAGACGGATCATCGCCTCGTCATCTCCAATATGAGGCTCCGCCTACAACCCTGCGAGAGGCCGCAAGGAAAGCGACCACCAGGTAAGCAAATGCTGCTGAAGGATTTCAGCTCAACTATTCATATCAAACTCTGGACCGTGCCTGAAAAGGTCTGTTTCGAAAGATTTGTTCCAAGTTCGCGCATTAGTTTCCTCGGAAATTAAACAAGGCATTTGTCGTTTATGTCTGCCTACCGTTTACATCTCAGCAATCAGTTGGCTCAGCACCTGGATGACCCGCAAACTCCAGATGAAAATGCCACCGTAGAGACTCGGTGATGCCAACTGCGAGAAGCCGTCCATGCGACCGCCCTGGGTGATCTCGGCTGTGCTGGTCGTCAACACTAGGATTGGTTCGATTAAACCACGCAGCCATCGGCAACCTGTTCGTCGAACTCAACAGGCTTCACAGATCCCACTTCGGCTGTCCAACCGATGCAAACAAAGTGGCCTTCTACCATTGCCGCCGCCTTGCGTAACAACGCTCGCGAGAAATGCGGGGAACCTCGATGGCCCGTAAGGCCGAGGGATCCAGAGGTGCGCCGACCGCAACGGAACAAAGAACTTCTTCGCTGAGACCGGAGCGATCTGCGTCTCCCTAACGAAGGGAGCTGCACCGCATCTCAAGTCCGATGGGTCAGCGCTTTTGACGGAGAAGTCTCAGATTCTGAAGCGCTGGGCCGAGCATTTCAGATGCGTCCTCAACAACCCCTCCAAAATCACCTACGCCGCCATCGATCGGCTCCGCCAAGTGTAAATTAACGTCGACCTGGACCTCCCGCACTCCCTTCTGAAAACCATCCGCATCGTGCAGCGACTCTCCAGCCGGAAAGCTCCCGGCTCCGATTCGATTCCGGCTGAAATCTAAAAACACAGTGGCCATCGTCTAATGCATTACACCACAGCGCTCTTTCAGTAGATGTGGCGCGCGGACAAATGCCTCAGGGCTTAAATGATACGACAAATCAGGTGCGACAGGATTTGTGTAGATAAATTATTTCCCGAAAAAATAAATCTATTGTTCTTATAGAACTTGCATTTGTCAACTTATGTGATTCTGTGCTCTGAAATTCAATAATAACGACAGCAAACAATCTTTTGTCATTGTACAATCATAATTTACATGTACAAGCACATAGGCCACAATTAGTCGCGAGACAGCCTCCAATTTTGTGGTCATTTTAACCTTTGCGCATAATGTGTGACACTTGCTGTGCTGTTTAGTTTCTGTTGATACGTAATTTAGGAGTGGAATGGCAAATAACTAAAAGAGTGATAAATGTTCTAGTACGTAAATGGCGACGTTGTAATTTTCATATAATGGTGGAACGGAGCTTAAAAGAAGAAAAATGCGACGTGGTCGTGGCCTGCAGCTCAAGAATGTTGAGCATTCTTTTCGCGAGCACATAAGCCGAATAAGTGTCCTAATTTTGCCCTTGATTTTATTTTCAAAAAAGCTGGGTTTGTGTGAACATCCATCAGCAAAATATCCCAGCAAACAACGATCCAATAGATAACATATTAGGTACTTTTTAGTTAATTTAGAACATACTCATCACAGGATACTGATTTTCTCCAACAATTGGGCTTTACGAATGGGTGTCACTTTAAATATCACCCGGACTGCCATCTGCATTAAAAACCGTTAAGGATTCCAGAACTTAAATAAAAGTATTAAAGAACCGAATTACCTTTTACACAAACTGCAAAGCCTATCATTTTTGTCATTCAATCAAAAATACTGAAAATACAGTAGGTGGGCTAACTCGTGAAATATCGACCAGAATTCCGAAATGCGTTTCCGTTTCGAAAAGATTAATTAAATAGGGTTGCAAAATTAATCATCATGATGCATGATTCTATAATACTTCAGTCACCTCGGGATGTCTACTTTCGAACGAACTTTGTTTCTGCCGCATACCAAAACTACACTCTGCAAGAAGTGAATACTTAAGTAACATGCCTTTTTCTCAATGGTTTTCGATGCCCTTAAACATTCAATCATATTTCGTGGGAAACATGCATTAAAATACATTATTTTACTCGTTTGGTAAAAAACTATGTCCTCTTCCAAATTCCTACCTGAATAAACGGTATAATTCAGTTTTATGAGACTTTTTAATACCGTGAAATGCCCGTTCATAAGACGCCGTGTCTCTGCATTTACCAATGTAGCTTGTAAAGCTAACAATATGGCTCTAATCCACTGCCAAATTGTATGAACTCCATATGGTGCCCTCTTAATACCGTACAGAAATGAATGGTTTTCCGTACGCGGAAAATATATAGCTTTTAGTTTGGAAACCCTGAAGGAAATTGTAACGGCAGTTCTTGAAAACCGAATTATACACTTCTTTCGAGTATGATGTTGGAAGACGACGTAGGTTTTTACCAAACGAGCAAAAGAATGAATATTTTATGCATGTTTTCCATGACATATAATTGAATGTTTAGGGGCATCGAAAATTAATGAGATAAGTGCATGTTACTTAAGTATTAATTTCTTACAGAGTTTAGTTTTGGTATGCGACAGAAACAAAGTTCGTTCGAAAGCCGACATCTCCAGGTGACTGAATTATTATAGAATTATGCTACATGATGATTAATTTTACAACCATATTTAATTAATCTTTTCGACACGAAAACGCATTTCGGAATTCTGGTTGACATTTCATGAGTTAGCCCACCTACTGTAGGTTTGCTGCCGATAAATCCTCGTCTGACCAGTACATTTATATGGGAACGGGGTAGAAGTAAAAACATGTCAGTCATTAGGGAAATCGATTAAAGTACATTTTAAAGCACAGGAGGAGTGATAGCGGAAGGGTACGGAGAGTTGCCGTTAATTAGTCGACTTTTGACCACGGTATGCGCGGGACCTGTTTTTCAAAACGAACTTTAATCGATTCTCCTAGCCACGTACATGTTTCCCTTGTACCCCGCTCCGTTATAAATGCCCTGGCCTGATGAGAATTTATCGAAAGTAAAGGTATGCTCGTCAACCAGTCTTCTGAATACCGTCATGGAAATTTCCGCAACACAAAAATCTCAAAGTATTCAGCTATATTCTAAGGCTGACAGGAATCTCAGTAGACTCAGCTGTTGCCAGAAGGCGCACGGTAATTTCACGGAAGGGAAACTCTCTTGAGACGCGGAAAATGGCATGCATATGATGACATCTACTAATTGTTTCCCAATTTCACATTCAATGACTGGCCTCTAGACATGTGACCTTAGGAAAACTTTTATTTTCGTAGCGTCTCTATCTATGGTATCAAACCAAATCCTCTTCGTCGTAGTCACTCGCATCTTGCACAATGCCGAAACGGAAAACTTTCATCGAATTCTCTTGATACCTTTGTGAAACGAATGATTAAGCATCAGACAGTGTAATAGTTGCTGTGTTGCACAGTTCACTAACTCTGAAACGATATTATTTTCGAGAATCTACGTATGCCACGAAAGCTACACATGTCCACCACCTCGTCACCTGATTTCGAAAATCGTCTGGAAGCATTTTTCAGCCGTTCTTCGGCTTGTGTTTTTTATTTACTCAGTCGTTTCCAGGGCCAGGCCTCTCGCACTTCTATTTATTTGACATGAATATCTGCGCTTTCAGGATTTCCGTATTTACTAATAAATTGCTACTTTTAACTGACTTTCAATCCTGTGCTGGCCTTTTGTTACATCCTCGTTTCCGTCATCAGAGCGGGGAGGCAACCGATCCTCTTGGCTATGATTAATGCAGCTTTTTCGCCTTCCCCCGGCCCCCGGCCATAACCGTGCCTAAACCTCCAAATTTGGCCTGCCCATCTGCGGTTGACTAGCTTTGACCTCTCTCAGATTGACCGCTGGTAGGCTGGTGTGACCTTTGTCTAGTTGCAACAAAGTCAGCGGGCCTGTTAGCCCCCGCCTCCTTCGTCGTCCAGCCGTCTGATCGGCCGTCGCTGCTGGTGCGAATTGCTTAAGGTCTCTTTGGCGCGTCGGGGGGCGGGGGGAGACGATGTTCATGCTGGTCACGTGATCACCGGTTGGCTCTTTCCTCTCCGTGGTTGTCAGCGTCAGGAGGCCTCCTGGTGGCCCTGTTCGAACTGGTGTGAGCCTTGGGGACGGCGTCCGCCAGGCTGCATGCGGGTCCATGGCTCGGCTAAGCGCGCCATTCGAGGGCCAACGTTCGAGCACTGGTCTAGACATAGGCAACGGTATAGAGAAGGACCCCACTTAACTGTCAGTAGACTGTGGATCGTGCCATACGTGATTCATGGTAAAGGGAGTTTTATGGGTGGGACAGCAAGCTAGGCAGTAAGCTGATAAAGTGAAAGCAAACACAGAAATTGCCTGGATTTATGCCGAAAGTCTTATCCTACGTTATTGTACGACAACGAAAATGAGAGTAGTAATTAAACAATGAACAAAAAGTAAATTTCACAAAATAACAGATTTCGAGTTAAGGTGTGGGGTCGTGGGAAGTAATCGTTGTTGGCAGTGTCATTTCTGCAACAGCCTGTAAATGTATAAAACCCCATATGACACGATCCACAGTCTACGGTACCTACACGGTATCCTACAGACCACTACTACTTGCACTGTCGCCGGTAGGGGTAGGACATGGGCCCCATGATTTGCCACTTCATAGGTTGCCAGAATGAAACTACTCACTGGCGGTCGGCGCGTCATCGGATTTCCTCAACCTTATGAATTAACCGGTCCCTCTGTGCACTGAGCTTCGGCTGCGCTCCTCAAGTAAAGGGACTGTGCACTACCCAGCCAGAATGAAGCGACCGTACTTTG